AAACTACTTCATTCAATGAGAAGTTCATTGCACTGAGGTCTGGTAAATCAAGATTACATTTTACTTTGTTTAATCATTTTGTTTCACTTGCCTATCACTCTTCTTTGTATCACAATACAAAAAGGATGCTGAGGAACTGAAAAGAGTGCAGACAAGCGCAACAAAGATGATAAGGAGCTTGGAGGCTACACCCTACAAAGAGCAGTTAAAGGAACTTGGTGTGTTTAGCTTAAAAGAGAAGGCTAAGGGAAGACATGATAGCAGTCTTCTGATACATGAAGGGATGTCACAGGGAAGAAGGAATAGATTTATTCTCCCTAGCGCCTAAGGGTGAGACAAGAACCAATGGGTAGAAGCTTTACAGTGAGTGAGCCAAACTTGAACTAAGGAGGAATTTCCTAACTGTGAGAGCTGTTTAGCAATGGAACAGCCTGCTTCCTGAAATTGTGGGTGCTCCATCACTGGAGGTTTCAAGAAAAGTCTGGACAGCCATTTGTCCAGAATGATATGAGGATTCCTGCACTGGGCAGAGGGTTGGACTCAAAGGCCTCCAAGGTCCCTTCCAATTCCATGATTCTATGACTGTTAAATCTGAAAATACTTTGTTATTGTGCTGCCTTTCACCTGGGAATAAACCAAATATTGTAGTCTAAGTTTATGATTTAAATGAGGCAATGATACCAGTTCCCACCAAGTCTAGGAGAGATGTTCTATCAAGCCATCTTTAGTCAAGATTTTTCTGTAGTTCTCACTACCATTAAAATATCTTTTCAAATTCATTTCAAATTAAGTGAAAGGGTAGAAGAATATTATTATGATTCCATGTATAAAATATTTATTGTTTCACAGGTATCAGTCAAATAGTATGATTTGAATTTGAACTACTGTCTTTGCATACAGAAATTGGTTTATACACTAGGTAGCTTTTGGAATATGCAGAGAATCAATTACTTGTTTTTCATTTAACTTATGTTTTTGCTTCTCAGGGAGTTAAAATAGTGAAATTGGTTTGAATTTTTTTAGTATTGTAGCACTGACATTCCCACAGTCTTTTAAATGTAAGATGATTTAATTGAATTGGACTGAACTGAAGCCAGTGTAATTTGTACAACTGTACCTCTGAACCCAGTAATCTAGTGGTAGTGAGCTTCAATGTTTAACTAATATAGCAGCACTCCCAAATGAACAATAGCATGTAACAGTTAAAACAGATGTTTCCAAAATAACACATCACCTGGCATTGTTCCACATTTGGGTGTCCTGCCTGTATGATACTATATACATATTATCGCCTATGCCTATCCTCAAAACTTTCCAATAATTTGGGTGTGTGTGTGTTGGAGAATGAATTTGTTTGAAAAAATTAAGTTGGCTGAATTATTTAATTTGTCCCACCAGCCTTAATGGCTGAATGACTTAACAAGTTTAAATGGGAAATATTACCACTAAGCATAGATTTGTCCTTGTACATGTGTTTAATTTTAGCTTGTTACTTGTTGTGGAAGTATTATACAAGTCAAGAGAGTCAAGAAATCCTTAGTACAGTGTTAAGAGTACATGGTTTGTATTTACAATGTCCCAAGTTAAATATCTGTCATTTCCAGCTGGACTGGAAAAAATATGTGAAATCTTGAGGAGCTATTGATAGTCAATGTGAATAGAACTGGGCTAAATGAAGCAATAGTCTGACATAGTCTAAGGAAGCATCTTTCTATGTTCCTAGAAAATGATTTATCGAGCATGCCTCCAAATGAATATAAGTAAACTAAAAATAGAATGGATCCATAATGCTAATGGCAGTATTAGTTCAACAATGCTGTTCAACAATGCTGTTAACGCATTTGGAAGGAAGAATGAATTTTGGAGACCTTTAGAAAAATTATCAAGCAGTGCCATTTTCAAAAGCCATTTTTTTTAGATTATTAATGAAGTCAAAAAGTCAGAGCACAGTAAAATCCCTAACTTAACTCATCATCAACATTTGCACTTGCCAAGTATTCATAGATGATATTCAGCTTCTGAAGAGAAGATTTATAATGCTGCACACCTCAGTCCATCATATCGTTAGACACAGAATGAAAAACACTGTGCCAAAATGGCTCTGAAAAATAGTATCTGTGTTGCCAAAAAGCTCAACTCCCTTCTCATAGTTAAGGTATTTATTGCTGTTTGGTCACAGTCCCACAGAACCAGCATTTGCTGCATGAAGGTTATAAATGATGCATAAACTCTATTTTCCAGTTTGTGTGAGAAAGGAAAGAGATGTATAATAGACCACAAACATCAAAAGAAGGAGTTTATCACTCAAGTTGAATAACTGATTGGTCATTTAGGAATTACATTTTTGGCCAGGAAATGAAGTGCAAATATCTTATGGCTGCTCAAGGCTCCATACATAATAACCAAGCCCCTCTGCCCTTTGGTATGATTGAATTATTTATCTGAGTACAAGTGTTTCTTGAATAATAGCTTACAAGAAGCTGAGAGTGACTGTGCCCTATCTCTTTCTCCAATAAGAAATATTCATTGTGTGGTCAAATAAGGCAATATGAACCCACTATTAATAATGTGCTTTCCAACCACTTGCAGCACAAGCTCCCATCTATGTCTTTCTTTATGCCTCCCAAAATAAATTTTAAATTTGATTCTCCTCTTCTATGAGCTAGTATTATAGCATCACTGTTCTGGTTGTAAAGTTATCCTTTATTTACTCCATTCTTGTGTGGGTTGAAATTATGGCTTACAAATTTAACATTCCACAGATTTCATCCAAAGCCCACTGAAAGCTGAAAAGTTCCCATCATATTCAATAAACTGAGAATCACCAGCTGAATGAGAAAGGTGCAATTACAGAATCTCAGTAAGACTTTAAACTCCACACACTTCATCTCTGGAACAACAAAGACACCTCTATTTTCTGTCATGATTAAAATGCATTCAGCTGAATCGTAGGATGGCTGAACTTCAGGTCCATAGAGAGACTAAGATAAAAATGTTGAAACTCAGTGGGCCAATGCACTATGTGCCTGTTATGTGTGTGTGATTATCAAGCTACAATCCAACATGGGGAAAAAGAGAGGGAAAAAATGGATGGTGCAGCTGCAATTTCTTATGGTACTTTGTGACCACTGACATTTAGGAGACTGGAACTGCGTCATGACTAGAAAGCACAACAGAGAGTTGGAGAGCACATTAGGCAGTCAGTCAACTGGAACAAAAGAGAACTGCAGTTTAGCAATAGCAGAATAAAAGCATGTAAAAACAAGCCAAACATAAAGTCAGCAGGCTAAGCATATGACTCTAAAAGCACTTTTTCAACAGAGTTTTGTACTCCCACCCTCTTTTACAAACACACACAAATCACAATGTCTTGTGATTATAAAACTGCACAATTGTTAAAGCATAATTCTCTCTGATATTCTCAGGTAGGGCTGCTAAAATTCCTGTCCTAAATCACTGCCAGCCAGTGTTGACAGTGCTGGGCTAGATAAACCAACAGCCTGAATTAGCATAAGGCAGATTTGTAAGTAAGTAAAACATGCAGAAGGATTAACTGGATGGATTAAAGAGATCAGTGTGTGATATTAAAATTCAGTGCACCAAAATTAGCATATAAAGAACAAAACATTTATATTCTTGTTGTCCCATGCAACAGGACATTGAAGATCTTCTCATATATTCAATGAAATAGAGATTAAAATTTTCATAGATTTTTCAGAGTCCTACGGCAGAAAGGGGAACCTGCTTATTGTATCTTTCGCTCTTGTGTAGATTTCTAGAATCTTTCCTCTTCTTCACCATCACATCAAGACACTCTACATGCTGTGGATGTAGAACACCAATGGAAGGGAGGTTGCCAAACATCTGCAGTTTCACGTTAGGTGCAATTTTCTGGATATTTATGTAACAGAAGCTTGTTATTGGCAAAAACAAATCAAAAAACAAAACAAAACCCTGGTTCTTTAAAGGACATATGCCAAAGCATCTGAAGACCAGCAGGTTGGGAAAGACTGCTGTAGGAAATCAAAAACCCAGAGATCTTGGGTGATACAAGATCATGTAATAAACACCTCTCCTGCATGAACACATTCATCAGTATTAGCCATTAGAAATGAATTATTAGAACATAGGACACATTTGCTCTCTTCATTTTCTTATACATTTTATTTTGTTGTGAATGGCTTTCTATCTTAAGACTTCACACAGTACTATAGTCAACTGTTTTATAACTGTAAAAGAGTTAATTATAACTGTACAATAATTAATTTTAACAGTACAAAAGTGGACAGAATTTTATTCAAATATTCTGTCCACTTTTTATGGGCTAAACTACCACCAAAGAGATGGCACAATTTCTACTAAACTGGAATATATGGCCCTTGAAGTTTAATTGCTGGAAAACACTATCGATTCAGCCTGTAATTTTGCACATCAATGCATGGGTTCTTCTTTGCTGAAGATGTGCATTTATGTTATCATATGACATACTGGAAAAGCGTTTTGATGTCTATTCAATTCAAATTCACTATGCAAACCCAATTTCTTCATGTAATGCATATGTGTATTTATGGCAAAGTCTTAAGTCTAAAAGCATGACTGATATGTTGCTTATAATGAGAGAACTGGGACAGAATGTGGTGAAGTCAAGAATGGAACTTAGAGGAAAAAGGACATGAATGGAAATAAACTAGACCAACTACAGGGAGAGGAAGCATAAGTCTTGTATGAAAAAGTATTAGAAGACATCTTAATCTTTCAGCAGAATGAATATAAATTGGACATAAGGAAAAATGATGCAGAAATTCCCTGCAATAAAGTAAAAAGTATTATGTTACCAATTACCAGATAGATATGTGGAATTATACTAACAAACTATGAAAAAGATGCTTGAAATGACATCGTGATAAAAGTCATATACAGGTAGTCCTCAACTTACAACCACAATTGGGACTGGAACTTCCATTGCTAAGATTATTTATTATTACTTGTTCTCTTTTTAGGACTTCAAGCAGTTGTTAGAAGACCCCGGGAATTTACCACCTTTGTTCAACATCACAGAATGTTTTTAATAAAGCTTTCACTGAAATTTCCTAAGCATACCAGGGCCTACAACAAAAACTGTAGAGTGCAGTGCTTCCACTGCTCCATTTCTTTATTTCTCCTGCCCTCTCCATTTTCCTTGTCCCACCCGAATAATGAGCATGTTGTGGAGTTTTCTTCCTGAAGTTTGTTTGGGCATATACTCCTTTTAAAATTTTCTCTTCTTTGTACATTTTGTACTTCAGCAAGATTCAGGATTCCCCAAAGTTTGCTGATATTTCCCTCTTGGGCATAGGTTATATACTTCTAGTTACATGAGGAACAGCTCTCAGAGAACTGAAATCAGTATTAGTATATACAAAGGCAAGAAACTGTTGAAGTGTGAAATGCTTCCTGGTTGAGATTCTGGCTTCTCCCCTATTTCTATTCCCTATCCCCTCTGATTTTCTCTTTTTTTCTTTCAACCATCAGGATTCCATGGCAAATAAGCACATGTTCACATACTTTTTTGGTTTTCTTTCCCTGTTATTAATTATGCAGAAGGCTTTTTTTTCCTAAAGTTTTCTTTAATTCTATAAGCCTTCAAATTCCCTGAACTCTGCCAATACCTCCCTCTTGTGTATAAGTGATGCATTTTGGCTCCACGCATAATGGCATGCATGTGGACGTTTAAAATAGGAGATATGGTAAACTCATAAAAAGAACCAATTAATACTGTTATTCAATAAATGTTTAATGAGAAATTAGTCCCCTCTACTCAGCACAACCAGGAAGAGCACTCTAAGACTGTTCCAAAATAAAGATCTAGTGTGTATTATTAGACAAACATCCTCCAGTTAAGAAACATTTAAAAGGCTATGTAATGGAAGCAAAAACAAGATTTCTTCCTTTGATGGGCTGCTAATGCAGAATCTAAAGTTTAATCTTTTTGGAACATCTGAACACTACAAAAAAGAGCCATATGCTAGGCTATAACTGAGCATTTCTAATATGCAATCTATTTAGTATCTCTGCACTTGACTTGTCAAACAATGATTCTTCCAAGAAAAATACAACTTGGTCTCAATGTTAATCACATTCCATATCTTCCAAACTCAAATTTCTAATGTATAAATGGCTGATCAGCTTTCATCACTTGTAGAAAAAATAATTCTCTAGGAGTGGGAGTGGGCAAAAGGGGGAAATCACAGACACTAGAAATTAAAATCAAATGGTACAATTGGAAAACATTTGTTTTACTGAATATTAGCAGCTTTGAAGACAAGACCATTCATTCTCAGTTTCTACTGTGATTAATGCCTTCTTGCAAAAGTAATACTGTGGTATTTTAAATTGGCATGCAAATCATTTGTGTTCTCTTGTGCCACCCAGAAATCAAGTCATGTGTTTTTATTTCCTCTGGTGAATAATAGCTAGTTTGGGGGTAGAAGAAAAATAAAAACTGTTCTCTAGGAGAAAAGTATTTCCAAAGTTAAAGTTAAGCCATGCCAGGTATAGAAATTCTGTTAATTTAATTTAGAGGAAGCCACTTCTGAAACATACCATATGTGTTAATTCAAAATATTCCCATATTTGAACCTAGCTTTCAAGATATGGCCATCAGCTGGATTGCAATGCATTTGATGACTAAGAGATAAATGTGTGAACCTGAAAATGTTATTTTAGCATAGGATCTATAACAGTGCTGTCAAAATGATGACATGTGCGACATGGCATCATTGCACTATTATTAGGTAGACTGTCTAGGTAGTTAACACAGTCGCTCCAAAGGATCATTTCTTTCTGACAGATGGTGAAGAAAATGAAAGAGTTGGGAATACAATTAGAAGTGCACTGGTAAAGATTAAGGACATATTTGACACACACGAATAAGCTCTTGTTAAAGCTTATGCCATGGTAGTAGAGAAAGCAAAAGATTTATTTTCTCTCAACCTACTGCTTCAGCACAATGTCATCCAGCCAAGTGAACCATTTCTTGCATTCTGAACCCTGGATGGACTGCAGGTGAATCTTCAGCAGTTCAATGTCAAATGTTTGCACTATACTTTGAAAGTTAAACTGTTCATACCTACTCAAATTTAAGATTCCAAGCTAAGGATACATTTTGAGGCGATGCCTGATTGAGCAGTTTTAATTAATGATATGGCATTTCGTGCGCTTTAAAAGGTGGTTAAATTGGCAGGAGTGGGGGAAACATACTATTTCTTGCCTGGTGTTTCCCCATCTGGCCTGTTAATGTGTAGTGTAATGTAATGGATATAGTGCTGGATTAGAACTAGAGAAGCCCAAGTTCAAATCTACTACCAGACATGGATGCTCATTGGATGACTTTGGGCCAGCCTCAGCCTAACTTAGTCACAGACTGATGTAGGGAAAAAATTGGAGGTGGGAGTGCCATGTACTCTACCTTGTACTTCAAGAGGAAAGGTGAAAAATAAATCTAACAAACAAATACATAAAGTTGCCAAAGATTACTTGACTGTGTACCTGTAATGGACATTGTGGATGAATCCTGAAGGAGACCATTCTCAACTTCACTAAAGGAAGCAAATAAAAGATTGCTGCTAAAGCCTATGTTAAATTTATTTGGATAATAATCAGTCTCATCTTGCATTTTTCAGGAAGTTCTAAAGGAAGTAGTAGCTATATAACTATGTACTTCTTTCTAATTTGGAAAGGAAAAAGAAAATTAGGAAAAATGACACATTGTTGATTATGCTGGACCTCTTGATGATGTTCAATACTACTGATCTGGTCTCCAAGGCAGTTAGCCAGATAGAACTTCGGGGAATTGCTTTGCAGTGAGTTCACCACTTTTTGGTACTGCTAGGGCACTATAACTCATCTTTTGGCCATTGGGTTCTGTGATGCCTTTCAAGCATCTACATGAAACCATTCAGAGAGGTAGTTTTGATGGTTTGGTCTCATCACATAAGGATATATGATGGAATATGAGGGTGACCTTGGAAGATGGGGAAAAGGTGGTGTTCTAGGGAACAATCAGATAAAACAAAAAGGAGTCTGCAACAGAGTAACAGCCAGAGAAGGAAACTTAGGAAGGACCCGCCCTAACTACTCAGGCAGTGAATAGGAAGGGCAGGAGATTTGTACTTTCAGTCTTGCAAGATTCTGTTAATGTAACCTTATAGTAAAGTAGAATTAGCTCATCTAGTCATATTTCCTGTCTGGTTTACCTGGGAGGGCTGACAGGATGACACCCAGCTCTATATTTTTTCAACTCATGTCCAGAGTATGGAAATCCTGAAAGAGTAGCTAGAAAAAATTATAGATTGGTTATTCATTAACAAACCACTATGAGATGTTAAACTGGTGGGAACATGGATCAGAGATTCTTCTGCGGTAGCATCCCCCAGAAGAATGATCTTCCAAGAGGGATTACATAGTATTGTCTTGTTTCTCTCCTTGCTTTTTGTTGAGCGGTAAGGATGTTTTGATTTGGTTTGGTATTTCTTAACTCTTAGCTTGCTTCTGTTGTGTTCTTTCAAGTACTGTATGATTCTGTTTTAGATTCTGTAGTGTACATGCTCTTGAAGTTCAAATACTATCTCTAATATTTGCACCAGAATTTTCTACCTAAAAGCACATGACATGCATCTGGTTATGGGTGGCAAAGCTGCATGAGGGTAAGTATCCATTTGTTTTCTCCTAAACAATGCAGGCAACACTAGATGTAGGATCAGGCTGCTAGTATTGTCATGTTATATTCCTTGTATAAACAAAGATAATACTTACATTATTAACCATAATATGAAAGAGAGATGCTATGTTGATTCAAAAGAAAAGCCCAAGAAGTTGCAAAATGGACAACTGTTCTATGTATACCATGTGATAAAGATATGATTGATTTGAGTAACATAAAAGGCTTCACTTTTTAGGCCCAACTGACTCAATAAAAGATGCCTTGGGCATATTTGTTCTCTACTGGTTTATAACTTGTCTTCTAATTTCTTTGGACAAATATCCCAATTTCTCTCATAAAAAGAGTTATATAATTCAGTTATATAATTAACTCAACATTGCTATTCTTTTTAGGATTCCCTACATTTTTGGAGGAGGGAATGGGTGTTATGAACAGTAGATTATAAAATTCAAATAAATCCACTATTAAACATAAAGTTGCACCCTTTTTCCTTCTGTGTTTCTGTTATGCTTCAAATATAATTCATTTTATCATGTAGACTTTCCACTTGTGAACTGAATCTAACTACTAAAAACTTACCAGTTTAATATGATAAACCAAGATGATGACATGTTATAGTTAATAAATCAATATTTATCTGTACAAATATGTTTAGCTTATATTGTAACAGGTGGGAAAAGGTACCATTATTTTAAATAAAATTATTCCTTCCTGAATGCACATACATTTAAAATATATGTCGAATTCAATCAGGAGTTTGGTAGCACCTTTTCTGACTAAAAAAACTGTTACTTGGAAAAAGTACTACCAGAGTCCTGATGTTTTGCCACTGTAGACAAGCACGGCTCTCCTCCTACAATGTAGAATTCAACTATCCTTAAAATTATCACAATGAACAATCCAAGAACTAATTAAGGGAAATGCACCTGTATACTGGTCAAATAGTAACATACTAAAAATAAATTAAAATGTTGTTTCATCTTTGCCATTCCAGACATATTACCAAGTTTCTTTACATGGAAGAATTGTTTTATATAAGCTTGATTCCTTAAGGTAGCACTTACATCGAACAACATTTATCCACACAGTTCATAAGGATTCCAAACTTAGAAAAAATCATAAATAATTAAAGTATTGTGAAATATGTCTTCCAGAATTTTGTCTTTGTGCAAGTGGAAGTCTGAAAACATCACAACCTGGAACATGGTTTTATAATGCTATAGCCTGACAATCCACAGGTTTTTTTGCTTTTTTCAGTCTAAGTTTTTTTCAAAAAATCTACCCATGATGTGAATGAGCTGCTGCATTGCTAACTTTTCTCTCCTCTGCTTTACTTGTGACCTCATTTATCAGCAACTTTCACAACAACCAGTTAATGACATCAGTGATTAAATGTTGATTAAAACAAGATAGGGAGTACTCACTCTGACTAGAGAGAGCACAGCTCAACACAGCCATCAGGAAACCAAAAGGAATTACATGTCAATACTGCTGGAACACTTTACTTTCTACATTGACCTTGATAGGGCAACAAATGTTCATTCAAAGTAAGCAAGCTGGTGAAAAAAAAAAAGTATTATATGTCCTGAAATGATCATGCTAGCAATGGAAGGTCAACAGTATGCTAAACCTCAGTAACTAATCAATGGTAACAGGCTATTCCATTTGGTCCACAAGAATGGGATTGCTTGAAATCATTATACATAGATTAATACCCACACAGAAAATACTAGTCATGCAAGCCACACTTGATTCCACTGCAAATATGTCAGTGAAGTGAACCTGAACTAGTGAGATTACTATATTTTGAAAAGGAAACACAGCCAAAGAACACAACAGCCACATACCCAGCCTCCATTGTCCTGGATCCAATCGTGCAGGTGCCTGTTCATGTACTCAGTCATCCATTCAGCAATACTGTCCACAAGAGGTGACATCTCCCGACTGACACTTTCCACACACAGCATGCCACCAAATTCAAAGAATGCCACAATCCTTCCCCAATTTACTCCATCTCGGAACAGCTCTTCCACAACGGCCATGAAATGACTTCTGGCAGTGACTGGGGTCAAGTGCAGTTGGCCAGACATCTGGGCAAAGTCCCTCCGATACCTCCGGGAAAACTCATCACCAGCTTGGCACAATGTGGAGTGAACAACCTGGGGTACAGGATGTAGTTCAGTGGCAGCCAAGTTACTAACAGCAGCAGAGCCAGGCAGCTCAGAAGGCAGAGACACCAGCCCAGCAAGGGCAGGAAAGGTCCCAGCAGCAGAAGAAACGTTTTCTCTGTCTCCGCTGGCAACCCAGTCATATCCTTTCTGTGACAGCTTGTAATGGATGTACCTCAGCACTATCTCCTGGTTACTGTAATCTCTTATCCCAGGATGAGCCATCCTCTACAACAGAGTGCTGGGAGGGGGATAAAAAGAAAGCAGAAGACAAAATGTCCCCCTCCCCACCCAAAAATTAAAGCAGCCAATAATAGTAAGTGCCAGTGTTATATAGAATCCAGTTGCTTTACTGTGTGTAGTTCCATTGGTGGAGGTGTGGGGGAGTCCTTAGATCTCAAATGTATTTCTGTCTTCCCAGCGTCTCTTCCTTCGTATATGATAGAGGATGGAGACCAGATTTAAGATGAAGCCAATATTGTACTCCACATGTAATATTTATTATAAAATTAAATTTCAGAATCCTTCCTTCCTTTGGGTTGAAATACATCTAAAAAAAAGAAAGAAAATCAAATACTCTTTTTCAAAATCAGGTGCATTTTTTTCCCTTCTAGATGCTGGTCTAGAATAGGGAAGAAGGTGCTGTATCCCCCCCCTCAAAATGATTTACAGAGTAGAGCAGCTTCCAATGCAAATTCATGTAAAGCACGTTCAACAAAAACTCTTTTTTTTTTTACATAAAGAAAAGTTACATGAAGTAAATTCCCTGTAGAAAATACTTACTTGAATTAGAAATGTTCTCTCCTCTCAAATGTCCTTACAGGGAAAAACAAACAAACAAACTTCACAGGTCCCTTAAAATATTAAATGCAAGGTGGTTTTTTTGATGATTGTAAAAAAGAAAAAGAAAGACGCAAAAGAGGCCTTCAGATCCTGTTGAATTAGTTTGATTTCCAAAAATATTTCTTGGGTTCCTGTTTGGATGACATTTCCAAAGATATGTCAGAGCTCACAGATCCCGGTTCTGAACTTCAGAAAAGAGACCAAGCCAAAACAGAGGTAGAAGGGGGAAAAAACCAATTCTGAAAAGCATCAAAGAAATGCATCTTTCAGTATTAGGCTCTTGAATTAGTACGGTGCTCCAGTGCCATAGATTTCACAACGAACGTAGTTTCATTCAGACACGGATCTTGAACTCAATACCCCGCATCATCATCACCAATCACCATCTTCCTCTGAAATTACACCCCCCCACCCGCTTCGCTGCTTAACTCCAGGGGACAGACAGACAGACCCACATCCATAATTGGGAAGAAGCCAGATAACTACAAGGCAAAAAGCAAAGGGAAGGTGGGACGTGTCTGAAGTATTAATTGATCCTAATTACTCCCTCCCTCCCCCCACCCTCCCTCCCCAGCGCCCTTGGTACCCCGGGCAGCCTCGCAAAGCTTCCTAGTCACGAGGCGCCTCCTCCTTCTCCAGCGTCGGCTCCAGATTGGATGTGCTGCCTTCGGCGCGGAGGCTCCAGCTGCCGAGTGGGGAGGTCTCGGCGGGCGGGGGAAGGCATAGTCAATGCGGCCGCACGACGGGGGGAGGAGACAGAGGAGGGGAGCTCCTGGCGCTTCGGGCTCGGCAAATGGGGCAGCCTCCTTTTAGCCCCACCTCACTCTCCATTCAAGAAAAGGGGGGGAAAGACGCAGAGGGAGGGCGCAAACTCGCGCCTCGGTCGCCGCTGCCGCCCCGGGCGAAGCTTCCGTGGCTCTTCGTTTGGGCTGCCTTCCCCCGCCTGGAATTGTCCTCCGCGAGGATTTCGGGCTCCGATGCCCTCGCGGGGTGCGGGTGGGTGGTCCACGGTGGTGGGGAGGTTGAGCTGGGGGTAAGGCAGCACGTTCCCCTTGGCTGCTTTTCATTCATTTTTATTGTTTGGAGGGATCGACTTGGAAGCGGTCCTGGATTGTTTCAGGGGGAAAACGCCCTGGGAGCGCGGGGAATGCGGGGGGGGAGGGGGCAGGAAGAAGCAATAGCATTCAAAAGCGCCTTCCAGAGTTGTCCTGACCGGGCAACCGCTCTGGCGGGTCAAAGACGCTTAGATCCGAAACTGAGGCGGAGAAAGAGGAGGGGACCCACTTGTCCGAGACCACCCAGTGGCTTCCTACGTGAGCGACAACTGCAGCCCGTCTCCAGCTTTGTAAAACTGTTGGACTCTAAACGGGGGGGCGGGGGGATAATACAGCTGAGGAAGTGTGCTGTGTGACGTCCCAGCTGCCAAGAATATGCGCGTTCAGTTTTCTTTAGTCAGGAAGTTCAGGGAGGGCCCCTCTCCATCAAACAGCGACGGTGAGCCTCCGGCGCAAACGTAGCTGCGTCTGGAAAGCCAGTGGGCGCGTCTCTGCCCTTCGTAGTTCGTAAATCGTTCCGCGCAGGCACCTCCCTGCCAGGTAGAACCGACCTCCCGTTCCGCTGGGGTCCCCCTCCACAAGTACCCCAAGAACATCAGATCGGGGGTGCGGAAAGGTCGCCATTCTTCCGAACCCGCGTGCTCGAAAATTAAAAAAAACCTTCGTATGAACAGGGTGCCACCTGGCGTCCAGCTCGAATGCCATCGCCAGCCCTGTCCCTGAATCTCCTTGCTCAGAAGAGAGTTTATTCCCGCCTTTTCCTGAAGTTGCTATTGAAAGACGCTCGTGTGTAAGTGTGTGGCGGGGGTGGGGAAGGCTGCGCAGTCTTCATCTGGCGGAAAGGGCCAGCCAAGCACTCCGGTTCTGTTCTGGCTCTCACCTTAAGAATTTTGTGCTTTAGGATAATATATGCACCTTACAGCCCTGCTCTTAGAGAGCGCTCTCCAGTGCTAAATGCAACAGAGGCCGTTGTTAAACCCCAGTTCTTATGGCTGCTCAATTCTCCTGCCCCCCGCCCCCGCACTTCACAGTGTTGAGGATGCTGCTACACATTATTAGTCAATTATCTGGAAGTTAACACTGTGCAAAACCTCTTATAATTTAGGGTGTCAAACGTTTATCTAAATATTAATAGCTCTCCCAGTTTATAACACTTAGTTGGCCTAATATACAGATAAACTATTCTGCTTTTCTGGCACTTTGATTAGAAAAGAAGAATGGTTTATCTGTATATTAGGCCAACTAAGTGTTACAAACAGGTTTTGGAATTTTCAGGATTCACCATCAAAGGAAAAAAGGGTAATATGAATACCTGCCTGCCCCTGAGATCTGTGGTATCACAGACTTTGCTCAGTCCATAGATGCAAATTGGTCCTTCATGGAGAAAGTATCCTAGAAAATATCTCTGAAGCTATGGCTGGCCAATGAGCCCCTGGGTCGCTGCACTCTGGATCGACAACCCCATAATTCCTACAATTGGTTACAATTCCTCCAGTGTGCAGGATTGATCAATGGTTATTAGAAACATTTAGTTGCAGTTATTGCTGCCCACGGGGGGCACACCAGTTACCGAAAGCAAAGGTTCACATACTTTTGCCACACCCCAATATGCAGTTTTGGATCATTTTCTTCAACGAGTCAATGAACAAGTATGATGTTCTTGACTCATTTGTTTAATTGGGTTTTATCTAGTTTTAGGATTTATGTGGAGAACAGATCACATTTTAGGTCATATTTATGCAGAAATATTGAAAATTCAAAGGGGTTCACAAACTTTTCAGCACCACTATAAACAGTGGAAGGAAGATTAATTGGCAAACTCTTTTGAAACTGAAAAATTCAGATCCGTAGATTGTAAAAGGTAATTTCTTAAACACTGTTGAGAAAATGTAAACAATTAGCCTCTAGGACTAATGGAAATCATCATCATACTCTGCATGTTCTAATTTGGCATAAATAAAAGTGGAAAGGCAATTAAAGCATGCTACAGCTAATGGGAAAATCTTACAGAAACTTTCCATTTCTTGTTTCCTGTCCTCCTTAGAAACATTTACAAGGTTTTAATGGGTTTGAATAAAATAGATACTGAATCATTCGCCCAAACTGGCTGGGCTATTTTTAGTTCTTTATTGTAAGAATGAGTGAACAATAAAATAAATCTTTCATTATACATTTGTTGAATTTTGAAATCATGCCCTCCTTATCCCAACCTTTAGATAAGTTCACAGTTAGAAAATTACTGTCTTATTTTATGTTACCACCTAGTGGCCATTCATATCTTTACACTTTTTACACTTTATTTTCCAATTAGGGAATCACCACAAAAATGGTGCATTCAGAGGTGGCTGCAGGACTGAAAGCTTTCATCCGAATAACAAAAGCAAGTCTGCAGTGTCATGATGCAAGTTCTGCCCCTGTCATCATGTGACATGACACATACACAAAAGGGTAGAGTTTGCCTTGCAATCACACAATGCTGCTTTCTTCATTAGTGCTTGCTGCAGACACCTCTGGTTGAATTGCATCTAAACTAGTCAGTTACATGTCATCCCAAAAGATGAAATGCATAATAAAAAAGAACACTGATTTGCATGAAAGCAGCTTATGCTACTGAATATGCATATATGCAAGTTTAAATTTTTTTAATAAAAGTGAAATTGCTCTCACAGCGCAGAAGAATAGGATCAGGAAGCGTGCTCTACCTGCTGCTATCCATTTGTTAATCTCTAAATGAACAAGTGCTCTTCTGTATGGATTTGAACAGGGCAGTTCTTCAAGTAGCGCAGTGGTTCTCAGCCCTCCGTGTCTTAAATTGCACCAGTTAACAAGAATCTGGGTCCCAATAATAGGGAAACAGAAGGCCTGCCTTTTCAAGTAAGGAACTATGTATGCACACAGGTATTTTGTTATTTATCAGTTATGGTATGTTTTTAGGATGTAGAAAATGCAACAATACAGTTGATAATGCTGCTATAAAATAAGGAGTGAGAACTAACCAGGTGAAGCAACGTCTGCCAATGTAGAATTAATCCTTTTCTAAACTTAAGCCAAAAATTATAACCAAATAATGAAAGATAACTAAGTGACCACATGCCCTTTATTTATTTTTCAAAAACTCACTTTTGTCCTTTATTTTGGTCATTTAACTCTCACCATACAAATGGTACCACTTAATGCACAGTCTTTCATATTCATTTATTCATGTGAAGGATATGGAAATTGAAGTGTCTTTTTAAAATAAATTTACATATACTGTTGATTTTAGATATTTTTATTAGAATATGCATTTTTGCAAAGTTTTTCTTGGTTTTGCTCTTGAATTTTCCTTTGTAAAGCAAAGTTATAAGAATAAACAATTTTTTTGTATCCTTATGAACCTCTTTCAGATTTTCCCCTTTTTCAGGTTTGTCCTTTATTTTTTTCAGAGAAAATATGGTCACCGTAAAGATAACATATTTTGTTTTATATTATTTTAGCTCCTAAACTGAAGCTTGTTATCCCAGGCTTTTTGAAATGTGCTACCAAGATGCTTGGTTACCTTTGCCTTACTCCACTCAACCGTAGACTGCTAGCCTACTTTTTCTACTCTCTTCTGTTTCTCTACTAATTGAAAAACATAGACGTAGAAGATACTTTTAAATAAAGGAATGTCCTTTGTAAATTAGGACACAAGTTTGTGCTTAACGCCTAAGATCAGGGTTCCAGTCATTCTGGAACATGAGCCTAGTACAGTAGAACCCAGAGGAAAACTGAAGTCTCCACATTCCTGAAATTTTTCTCCAAGGTCCAATATAATACAAAAGGCTTCCAGTTCAACTTCAGTCTTTATTAATATGTAGCAAGTATGAGAATAATAGAAAATGAAAAAAGTTTAATATTTTTATCCTTTCTCTTAAAATGCCAGATAATTTAAAGCAAGACTCCTTTTTTGTTCACTCATTACAGCTAAATATTTTGCCAATCTAAATATTATAAGAATTAACTACTGAAAAGGGTATATGTGATTATCTTGAAGAGGAGTGGCCTTTAACATATTTTTCTTCATTACTGGTGTATAACATTAACTTTTTATTGTTCTCTTGGGCAATGTGGTACGTATTACAACTATCATTAAATCCAAAGCAAGTAGTGATATTTGATGCAAACCTGAAGGCAGAATAAATGTGTAAACATGTGGATTTTTATCTATAATTTTGTTTGAAACATTGAACACATCTGGTTAATATTCTTATTGGTGATACTTTTCAAAGAGCTTGGTTGGAATTCATCTTTCCATAGCATGTCTCCCTATTGCTTTATATATTATGTATTCCAGTTCAGATAAATTATATTTTATTTTATTTTCTTATGTGTTTTATGTACTTCATGTATTTTTATGTATTAGGTTATTTGAATATTGCTTATGAATAATACATTTAATGTCCTAGTTCTGATCAATATAGGGTCTGACAAGATATCCTGATACCTATT